GAGAAGTTTATTTGGGCTTATTGTCCCAGAGGGCTAACTATTGTGGAGGGGAGGCATAACAGCAAGCATAAATGCTCGAAGTCAGCATTTTTATTATCTCTAGGAACCACTTAGAGCAGTGGTTCTCAACCTGTGGGTCGTGATCATCAGAAAACACATATTTCCAATGGTCTTAGGAACTGAGACATCACTCAGTAGCAAAATCGCAGTTATGAAGTAGCAACAAAAATGATTTTATGGTTGGGGGGGTCACCACAACATGAGGAGTTGTATTAAGGGTCACAGCATCAGGGAAGGTCGAGAACCACTGATTGAGAGGTAGCCTGAGAGGTAGCTGAGCCATTAAAAGCATTGGCTGCTCTTCCAGAGGACCCAAGCTTGATTCCCAGCCCCCACAAGAAGGGTCACAACCTCTGTAACTCCAGTGCCAGGCAATCTATCGTCCTCTTCTGGCCTCTGTGAGCACTGCACACATAGCACGCACATGAATACATGCAGGTAGAACACCCATACACATAAAATAAAAATAAATCTTACATTAAAAATGAAGTAACTATGAGATTCTTATGATGATTTAAAAACCAATAAAAAGAAACCAAAATATCATCCACAGCTGTAATAACCAAGGGCAGTCACCAGGAAACATTTGATAAATCATCTGGCAAGTTTGGGGGTTGGCTTTTTTGCTTGTTTGTTTTGTTTTTGACTTTTATTTATTTATTTTTGAGATGGGGCCTTACTACATAACTTTGGCTGTCCTGGTAAATCTGTTTTTAGCAATAGTTTTTGCATGCAGCACTTAGAACTGTTGATATTTCTTTGCCTAATAATTATTTTGTCATACCATGACCCTTTGCCTACTTACATAAAATATTGACAGAGGAAGAAACAAACATGTACCAGGTGTGGTGGTGCACACTTTTCAGGCCAACACTCAGGAAGCAGAGCCAGGGAGATCTTTTGTGAGTTTAAGGCCAGCCTGGTCTATAGCAAGTTCCAAGCCAGCCAAAGCCACATAGTGAAACCCTGTCTCAAAAAAGAAAAAGAAAATCCCAACACTCGGGAGGCAGAGCAGGTGGATCTCTGTGAGTTCAAGGCCAGCCTGGTCTACAAGAGCTCGTTCCAGGACAGGCTTCAAAGCTAAAGAGAAACCCTGTCTTAAAAAACCCAAAAGAGAAAGGACTAGGACACATGTTGCTGGTGCAAGGAGCGAGGGGCAAACCATGTTCTGCAGGGTCTAGTCAGCAGACAGGACCCACATCCATGTTTACACTGGCTCATCCTGAGCCTGAATATCTGGCTCCAGGTTGCCTGTGTGGGCAGGAAACAGATCCTTTTTCAGTCACCACCTTCCTCAGCACCTCAGAGATTTCTGGTGTGACAATATCTAAGCAAACCAGTGACTCTAGGCTCTCACTGACCATGAAGGCTTCAAGGTGTAGAGGAAGAACTTATCTACTGGATGGAGACCTCCCCCTAGCAGCAGATAGACCCCAGAGACCAGGACTGACGGAGGGCCAAGAGAAAGACTGTCGGCCCTGCTCTGGTTACCTGTAGATGGAGGCCAAGGGACAGCTGAGCCACCCGTGGGTGGCAGTTTTGTCCAGCTGATGAGTGTCAAAGACGAAGTATGGCTGGGTGATTTCTGTGATGGTGTCACAGGGCACCTGGCAGGCTTGTACTTGGAGTTCAGGCCGCAGGCGGACGTGGGTCACCTTCTCCTTTCCCAGGTAGAGCCAGCAGGGCATGGATATTCCTAGTGGCTCCTCCACGTAGCAGTAACCCAGACGTTTGCGCTCACCCGGTTTTTCGCAGCGATTACAGTCTTGCCAAGGATCCCAGCGGGTAAAAACGAGTACCTCGCCTCCTAGGTTCATGGTCTCATTTTCCAGGGGTCTTTGGCCCAGGTCTTTGTGTGTGATACGTAACAGGGTTATATCCTGAAAGTCAATCTCATATTCCACCACACGGGCCTTGTAATTATCCAGACAGCGGTAAAGCCCCGTCTGGGATGGCTGAGGGTTGGGTAACTGCAGGTTGCTCCCAAACAGTATCTTCACGTTAGGCATGGAGTTGAGCAGGGACAGCTTGTCCTCCAGAGATGAAGAAAAATACCATAGTGCTTTGGGGTGGTTACACTGCAGGATCACGTCATTGCCCGAGAGTAAAGCGTACTGGCACACATTCTTATGGGGACAGTTGATTAGTTTCTGGGACCACAGCACAGGAAGAGAAAGACTAGCCAGCCACAGAGTGGCCAGCATGGCTGAAGACTACAGAAAGAACTCAAGAACCTTCTTGGGTACTGTGATGTCACCCATAGAACTTGGGTGCTAAGCCCTGTGTACCGGGTTCCAGCGAGTTTTCAGAAATACACATTGAACATTTAAGACATATAAGAGCGAATATATAAGAACATATAAGGCTGGAGAGAGGTCTCAGCAGTTAGGAGCACCGGTTGCTCTTCCAGAGGACCCGGGATTGATTCCTACCACACACACGGCAGCTCACAAGTGTCTGCAATTCCAATCCCAGAGGACCTGCTGCCCTCTTCTGGCTTCTGTGGGCACCAGGCACACATGTGGTGTATAGACATGCATGCAGGCAGACACATGAACATAAAACAAAAACTGAGCTATGTGTGAGTAAGATATAACTTGATGTGAGATTCCCCTCTGTATGCTGTGAATATCATTGGTTAATAAAGGAACTGCTTCGGGCCTATAGCAGAGCTATAGGGGAACAGAGCTAGGTGGGGGAAACTAAACTGAATGCTGGGAGAAAGGAGGTGGAGTTAGGGAGAAGCCATGGAGCAGCCACCAGAGACAGATGTACTGAAACTTTACTGGTAGGCCACAACCAGTAAATGCACAGATTAAAGGAGATGGGTTAAATTAAGATGTAAGAGTTAGCAAATAAGAAGCTAGAGCTAGTGGGCCAACCAGTGATTTAAATAATATGATTTCTGTGTGATTATTTCGGGGCTGAGTAGCTGGAAACCAACAAGTGGCTTCCTCCAACAATAATTTACATATCCCCAGGAAGTAGATAGGATGAACTCAAAAGGCAAATTATCCACCCTCACACATCCAGTACATGAAGACAGTGTGTGCTTTGAATCCAAACATACACTATATGGCACATGTTTGAGTCCCAGATGGTGGTACTGATTTTGATGGTATTGAAAAACCTTAGTGTTTATCCCACCAAATGATAGGAAAGACCATTACCCAAATTCTTGGGTCAGATTACACAAGCTTTATTTTATATCAGGGCTCTGTGTCTAGAGGTGGGGCTTAGCATCAAACATGGGAGAAAGCTAGGTTTATATTAGCCCCAAACTACAAGGCCAGGGGGTTTTCAAGGATTCTTGGTTATGTAGGAACATAGAGGAACATCTCAATATTATTTGGAAGAACATCATATCAGGGTAGGGGTCAGGATATAGGTGTGGGACATGTCAAACTGGTCAAATACAAGTTTTACAGAAAACAGGTATGGCTTTTATTCTTAAGATGGAGTCAGGCTGGTCCATCATTGGGAAGCAGAACTCAGTTGGCAGAAGTAGGGCAGTCCTTGGGTCGCTCTTGTCCCTGGCCCTTCCTGTCTGCCTGACTGCTTCCTAGCCTCTGTGAAGCAAGCAACATGCATAGTTCTCGGCCTCACCAGCCTTCAAATGCAAGCCCCAAATGATGTGTGTGGCCATCCAAACATGCCCCAAAACCTTTGAAAACATGAGTCAAAAAAATAAAGATTTTACAAAACAAAACAAATAAAAACCCTGTTTCTCACAGGCCTTTGTCTCAGAGACAAAAAGTGCCTGGCATGGGAATGGGACAAGGGCTTCGTGTCCATCAAAAGGGGGACACACAGATACTGAAGTCCAGTGGGAAGCCATGACAAGGACCACCTTTCCTAGAGATAGATTTTTTTTGGGGGGGGGGTGGTTCAAGACAGGGATTCTCTGTGTAACAGTCCTGGCTGTCCTGGAACTCACTTTGCAGATTGAGCTAGTCTCGAACTCACTGAGATCTGCTGCCTTCTTCTGCCTCCTGAGTGCTGGGATAAAAGCCATGTGCCACCACTGCCCGGCCATAGGACAGATTCTTCTTTTTTTTTTAAATATTTATTTACTTATTATGTATACAATATTCTGTCTGTGTGTATGTCTGCTGGCCAGAAGAGGGCACCAGACCTCATTCCAGATGGTTGTGAGCCACCATGTGGTTGCTGGGAATTGAATTCAGGACCTTTGGAAGAGCAGGCAATACTCTTAACCATTGAGCCATCTCTCCAGCCCCCTAGGACAGATTCTTAAATCATCATTAAATCATCTCCTTGGTGTCAAAGGGATGTACTAATCGTGACAGTCTAGATTCCATCATTCCGAAATCTTAGTTCCATAACCCCCTTCTTTTTTCACATTCATACCCAGCATTGGTTAGTGGAGAGGGCTCCTCTACAAGGTCCCCACAGATGCCACCCGAAACCACACTGGTTCCTGTGGCAGGGGAAGGCATACTGTCGATTAAAGGCTCTGGACTGGGAGGGGAACCCTCTCTCTCTACTTTTGTATTGATGCTACTAACTATAATTGACCTGATGCAGCCCCCCATAACTACAGGAGGGCCGGGAAATATAGAGGTAGAATATTTACTAAGCAACGTTGTCTTTAGGACAGGAAAAGATAGGTGGAGAAACTAGAGCTAGTAAAATATCAGATGACAGGAGGAAAAAGTGGGAGAGAGAAGTTGGGAATAAGCCTGCCTTGGGAGGAAGCACACATCTTATCTTTGTGTAGAGATGGGGTATGTAAAAATGTCGAGTGAAAATGGGGTGATTAGGATGGGTTCTAATCTAATACAGATTCTCTTTCCTACGTTGAAGATGATGGATGACCAAGTTCCTAGGTATCGATAACATTGATAATAGCGAGGGTGTACAAAACACAAGGTAATGCGTATTACTGGTTTAGAGTTATAAACGCTAGCAATGATGGCTATGATGATTTCCTCTGTTTTTTAATTATGATGGCTCATGAGCAGGGTGAAATTTTATGAGAAGGGTTTGCCTTTGAATGCGGCCCTGAGGAAAATGGGACGAGGTGTCCGCAGCAGGAAGGGGATTCTGGTAGCAACACCAGCCAAGTGTCCGATTCAGGACACGCCAGGTCAGTGTGGCTGAAGCCAACTAAGCGAAGAATGCAAAGTGAGTTGGGGAGGGACAATCAGGCCGGTATGAGTATTTTGAAATTTTCTTGGGAGTAAGGAGGGGCTACGGGATATTTCTGAGCAGAAGGAAGTGACCGAGTTTTACAAGACAGAGAAGAAAATGATAGTACTCCCAACCCACCGGCCAGTTCACAATCTCCTAGAATGCGCGTCCCCTAGACGCCAGCAGAGAGCAGCAGTGTAACGCCGAGAAGGCCGAGAGGCGCTGGCCGCTCCCAGGGTGCAGGTGACGATCTGGGAACCTTTGAACTGAAACAAGTCTCCCGGCCTCCAGTCTTGGCACAGCGCCTTTAAGCATCAGAACTTCCGGAAGCCTGACCTAGAGTAAGGGATGACCGAAGGGGAGGTGGAGAGGGAACCACAAGTAAGTAAGGAAACTGCCGAAGAACGATTGCAACTTTTTCAAAAGTTTCGTCCCCACGAGCATCGCCTGAGGGGCCAGAGCATCACTTTCAGAGGGGGGGTGGGGGCGCTCACTGATACTTGAGTCACCCAACTTAGGAGCCCAGAAAGTCCGCGACACCTCCCCAACCGGGACGAGAGTGGGAAGGCAGGCAGCGTCACCGACACGCCTCTGCCAGCCCGGACCTTGCTGGGCCAGGCACCTCCCCGCAGGGCGCACCTAGGCGGATCCATCGGCGCCGGAGACAGGGGTGGGGACCGGCAGCGAACAGGTGCGCAGCAGGGCCGGCCCCTCTCGGCAGGTGGAACACCCTCAGGGGGCCTCTGTCTTCCTGGAGCACGGTCCTATCAACTTTGGCCAGAGCAGCAGGTGGTTGCACACGTCGCCTGGGGTGCGGGCGCCCTCCAGGCTAAGTGGTCACTTGGTTCAGACCCTGCGGGGCAGGAGCGCACCTGAGTCAGCCCACTTCCGGGGAGGGAGGCCCGCAAGCCCCTCCTCCGCCGCCCACCCCCAAGCCCAGCCCCAGGGCTCCCACCCTTGTGTACCTGGGCGGATCCATTCCTGGGAGTGCTCAGGGGGTGGAGTGACCCAGAGAGCCGTCGCGCACTGGGTCAGTTGTCCCGGGAGAGCCGAAGACATGAGCTTCGTCCAAGTTTTTTTTGTAGGTTAGAACTCCTTCAGTGAAGAGAAAATGGACTTGAATTAAGGGCGGGCGGATCAAGTACTCTTCTCGGCCTTGGTGCTCACCGCGCCCCCTACTCTTGGGATACTTGGGAGGGGACACGCGGGCTCGGGCGCTGCTAGACGGCCGCGATGGCGCCGGCGGCGGCGCCCAGCGCGCCTTCTGAGGCGCCTGGCTCTCGCCCGACCACTATGTTCTTCGTGTGGCTCTTTCTCATCACTTACAGTCCAGGTAAGGAATGGGGTCCCCGGTGCTGTGGGACGGCGGGAGGGCACTACAGAAGGTAGATGGAGGGCTGCGGTTTTCACCGGTCCTGGAGGAGCTGGAACCAAGAGGCGGGGGTGATGGCTAGTTCGAGGGTGCACATTCGAGACCACCAGATTCCGCCTAGCTGGGGAGACGTCTGTGTGCCAGAGGAAGGGAATTTCTTTTATTGGCGCGTCCAGCCCGCTCCTCCGCCTTTGTTGGAGATAACAGGAAGTGAAACTCTGGGGATTCTAAGCCTGAGAACTGTACCCTTTGTGGGACAGGAGCAATGCCCCCACCACCACCACCACGGGAAAGGCCATGCACTGGGATCTTGGGCACACCCCAAGATTTCTAAGTGTTGGGGTAACGGGGAGATGGCACTCGAGGGCTAGATCCGACGGTCCCTGAAAGAAGAGCTTGAGAAATAGTAGTCCTGGCTTGGAGTGGGTGTGGAATTGGGGACTCCCCACCCCACTCACCTCCCGGGTATCTGTAGGGTGGACTTTAGAACCTGTAACCATCCTCCGCTGGCCATTGCGCGCTTACATTGAATATTGGCTCAGGAAGGGTTCTATTTGTGTCTGGGTGTGCATTTTGAGGAGAGTCTCTGGGGAGGAAAAGGTGGACAGAGTATTCCAGGAACCTGGCCTATGGGGCTACATATATATCACTTTTCAGCCCCAAGGGTGTGTAAAATGGGCACATCATCCAATTTGCCTCACCAGTCTAAGGGATTAAGGAGCAGTATGCCAAGTGCTCTGAAAAAAAAAACACACTCTGTTAAGTGGCATGGCTCCTTGCTGTTGCGGGACCCACTGAGTTCAGCTCTCCTTGTTGGCTCCTCTGCTCCCAGCTCCGGCCAACACCATCCAGGTGACTGTGTCGGACCCCTACCACGTGGTGATCCTGTTCCAGCCCGTGACACTGCCCTGCACCTATCAGATGAGCAGCTCCATCTCAACCCCAATCGTGATCTGGAAGTACAAGTCATTCTGCAGAGACCGTGTGGCCGACGCCTTCTCCCCCGCCAGTGTGGAGAACCAGATAAATGCCCAGCTGGCAGCTGGCAACCCTGGCTACAACCCCTATGTGGAGTGCCAGGACAGTGTGCGCACTGTCAGGGTGGTGGCCACCAAGCAGGGCAATGCCGTGACCCTTGGAGACTACTACCAGGGCAGGAGGATCACCATCACAGGAAGTATGTGGGGCAGGGCTGGAGGAGGCTTGCTGGGGGGGGGGGGGGGGCGGGGAGTGCGAGGGTTTGAGTGTCTCGATGGGATAATGAAGGGAGGGATCCTTCCATTCACCCACCTGTCCATCCACCTATCCCTCCACCTATCCGTTCATTCACGTACCCACACATCCATCCACCTACACATCACCTATCATCCATCTAGCCTTCTATCCCATTACCCCACAATACAGTCCCTACCCTGTGCCAGGTTTGTTCCAGGCTCCGGGAACACAGATAGAATTAAACCATCCAATCACTCTCCTATGAAGCTCACAGTGTTGTAAGGGAGAAAGACTCAACATACAATGTCAAAAGCTTGCAGACTTAAGACAAACAAAACCCTGTTGTTTTATAATTGATACTAAACATGCTAGCAGTGCGAAATAATACTTCCGCCAGCTATGGTGGCTCACACCTGTAATCCCAGCACTCGGGAAGTTGAGGCAGAAGAATCTCAAGTTCAAGACCAGCTTGTGCTACATATAGTGAGACCCAGGGCCTGATTCAAATTTACCTAGAGTGGATTAACTCAGGGAGACCACACAGCAATTGAGTGACTCTGTTCTATTATTGTTATTTTTTCAGAGCCCCCTAGAGACAAGTGACTTGCTGGGGTGTCGCCCAGTTGATAACAGCTGTGTCCTAACTCCACCACTGTAGGTCTTCAGTCGTTCATTCATTCTTCTTGTTCTCTGGTGTTACTATAGATGGAACCCAGGGCTTGGAACATTCTAGGCAAGGGTCTACCACTGAGCCACCCACACCCCTCACTGGGGGACTCTAGGCAGGGGCTCTACCACTGAATTATATCCACAGCAATTGCCTTGGTGTTTACCATGGTCAGCTGTGTCCCAGGTGCTGTTAGACGCACTGGGAATACAGTGGTAAGCAGAACAGCCCCCAGACCCTGTCCCTGCCTCACATTACCTTCCAGAAGCAACACTGCCAGTGAAAAGACTTGGGAAGACTGGCAGCCCTGGGCACGATGGTGCACACCTGTAATCCTACCTAGCCTTGGGGAGGCGGACAACCACCCTCAGCTATGTAGCAAGTTGGAGGTCAGCCTGACTACATGAGCCCCTGTCTCGGGGAGTTTTGTTAAGTATGGGAGATTTCCAATAGTTTTACAAGGTCCAAAGAAGGTAGCATTTGGCGGTGTGTGTTTAATTACTTGGATGTGCCATCTTTGCTAGTGTGATCTGAAGGGTAGAGGAAGGACATAGGGACAGCAGCGGGCCAGGGGTGCAGGCATCCCAGGTAACCTCACAGGCAGCGGGGTGACTCTTAGCTGATCCCTGGAAACCAGGCCGTAGAGTATGCCCTCTCCCCATCAGGCCGCAGGTCGGCGGTGGGGTCCCAAGGAATCAGGTCTCAAGGAAAAGGAATTGCCTTGAATCTCCATGGAAATCCTAAGCTTTCTTGAAGTTGGGGGCTCACTCTGGGCCTGATTGCCCAATCCTAATCAGGACACCACAGACAGAGATTGTCCTTAAAGGCTGGTTGGACCTGGGTCTGCTCTGAGGGACACAAAACTCGGGAATGTCCATCAGGATATACCCTGGAGGACCCGTGACCAGACTGGGTGTCTCCAACTGGCTTATTTCAACAGTGGTAGGTAAGTGGCCATCCTTCCAAAAGTTCAAGTAACCATAGGAACGTCTTTCCTCTTCATCCTTGAGGAAAAAGAGAGGAGAGGTGGGCCTCTCGGTGGCATCCCTAGGGTCATCCACTCTCCTAGTTTTAAGAGTGGAAGTGACTGTGGCCTGTCCCCAGCCACTCAGGAGGCTCAGGCAGGGGAGCGGAAGTTCAAGGCCACTTAGTGAAACCTTGTCTCCTAAAGCGAAGAGTAAAAGGGCTGAGCTGCAGCTGGTGGCACCTTACCTGTCTAGGCATAGGTCCCCAGGAGCTGCACCAGAAAAAAGTGATGGGAAAAGTAAATGTCCGCCACCTCCCAGTGCCTCTCTTCCACTCCAGATTTGGGGGTGTGGGGTGTTTTATCAGAGGCCCTAGTGTTAATCTCTTCAGGTTGCTTAGAGCCACTGGGCCCCCATTCTCAGCAGCACTGAGTAGGACCCTAAGGACCTGAAATCTTGACTCTTCCCTCTGCCGTGTGCAAATAAGGAGTCAGGATATAGCCACAGAGGAGCCCAGCCTTCTTCCCACTGGAGACCAGTATCTTGGCCTCTCACCTCACCCCCGTGGAATCAGTGCCTAGCCCCTGTGATGTCAGGGGCCAGCAGGGACCAGGAACAGGGTGTGCCCCACAGGAAGGAGGTGGGCCCAGGCCTCAGGAGTGATCAAAAGAAGCCGGAAAGCCTTGCTGTTCATGGGTTCTGAAAACATTAAATGGGCCAAATACAATACAGCAAGGCCCAGAGCTGGTCCTAGAGGCCCTTGGTTGTAATGTCTGGCCTATGTAATCACTTCCTGTGCCAGGGGGTTCCTGTTCGCTCCTTCATCTTTGGACAGGACTTGCTATAAAGCATATGGCTCAGGGAAGAGCTATTGAGTCCATAGGAATGGGCACCGTGGCCAGTGGGCCTCCCTGCCAGACAATCCCTTGGATCCAGGGTCCCCTCCAAGAGCATTAACCATGGGTGCCCCAGTTCACGGCACCCAACACCCATTGTTGTACCCCAGATACATAAATGGGAAATCCTCCAGAGAGTAGTACAGAAAAATCTGGAATGCTTAGGACAGTCTGAGTTTCTGAGGGCCTTGTGAAAGGATGGGAGTCTGCATTGGAGGAATCTGCTTGCAGATGACCTCAGTCAACAGCGGCCAGAAGCCTGACCTTGGAGGGCGAGTAGGTCTTCACGGTCTTCACTCCTCCAAGGTCACCCCCGGGCAGCCTTCCCAGAGTTGAACGGCTTCCACGCCTGGCACTTTCTATCCCTCCTAGGTCATGTGCTTTATACCGTGCTCCCCATCTGATAGGGAGCCTGTGTTTTAGCTCTGGTCGGAAGCCCTCTAAGGACAACTTTGCTCCATGAAGTTTCTAGGTTCTTCTCAGAACCTCTGAACATCTTATTACTGGAGAACTCTTGAGACGGTTTCTGGCCTTGTCTTCTCCAGGATTTCACTCAGCAGCCCAGACCGGCACTGAACTCACCATCCTACTTCAGCCACCCAAGTACTGTAATTAACATATTTGTATAGATTTGTGCGGTCATACCTGGCTCAAGCTTTTGTTTTTATCATTAACAAATTAACATGTGAGTTCAAGGCCAGCCTGGTCTGCACAGTCAGTTCCAAGTCAGCCAATAAAGAACTAAATGTACCTTTTATGAAAAAAAAATCCAAACTAAAAATAAATTATTTAAATGAGCTAAGTGGCATTGTTTTTTATTCCCATGCATTTCCTTGGCCGAGCTCAGTAAAAGCAAGGTTCTCCAAGCACCTTTGGTTTGCTATGAGATTACATATCATGTGGAAAATGTCTTTGAATGTTCCTGAGAGGTTAAGGCTGGTTGTCTGTTAGTGCTGTAAAATAAGTGTACCCTGGAATCCCTGGAAGGGCCAGGGAACCCCAGGGTACCCCCTGGCCACACTGAAAACCTTCACGCTTTTTTTGTTGTTGTTGTTTTATTTTGTTTTAAAAGGCATCTTGCCATTATCACATCCAGTTCAACCTTTGCTTTCTAGTGAAAGTTACTTAAACACTTCCCGGAACATTCAGTGCGGTCTGTTGCGGGGCAGGGGTTGAGGTGGTCTCCCTATGTAGTCCAGGCTGGCTTCAAACTCTCCATCCTCATGGCTTACCTTCCCCAGTGCTAGAGATCATAGGCATGTGCCAGCCATACCCCCAGCCATGTTGAATGCTGAGTGAATGGAACAAGCAGTAAAAGCTAAGGAGAGGGATGGCCCTCCATGGAATCAGGTGACTGAGGCCGACTCTGTTCTTCTGACATTGTCATAGGTGAAGAGTGAGCGCCAGGCTTCAGTGAGGGAGCAGGGGAGCCTTGTGAGTTGCGGTGAGAGTGCACCTCCCGGTTGGGGCTTGAGAATGGAGAAGCAGCCTATGTGGATGGAGGAAGGAACCTAGCTGGAGTAGGCAGAAAAGATGGCTGAAGGCCCGTGAGATCATGGGGGTGACATTGACATAGCCAGTGACCAGAGAATATGCTAAGGGCTTTGCAGGCCTGGGGACTGTGCTTGGCATGATCTAGGTGGCTTCTGGAAAAGGGTTTCTTTTGAGGAAGCTTAGCCCTTAGTAGCTGGTATCCCAGTAGGTGCCAGGTATCATGATTTGGGCAGCCATGGTTAACATGGGTGTGGTGGACAGGTTTGTCATGCAGGCTCCTAGGTCCATGGGAGCCGGTGGCAGGCAGGTCATTAGGAGCCTAAGATCCGCAGCCATGATCCCCTGGGGTTCTACTGGCTAGAAGAAATGCTTACCACTAGGACAGAGTCTCCAAGCCAGACTTCCCAGTCAGGTGATGAAAGGATGTAACTAATTAGGGCCTGAGGAGTCCAGAGGATGTGCTGAAAGACTTTCATTAGCGGTGTAATTAGCAGGTTCCTTGCCTGGGGCTGCTTCAGACCAGAGCGTCCCCAAGCCCTGGGACTGGCCTGGAATGTGGGGGCAGGAAGGGAGGGGGGTGGGCTTGGAACTGGGAAGGTCTCTCCCACACCTGTCACACCCACTCCTTGGTGCCCAGGCATCTCCTATCTGGGATCTGGCCTAGTTAGTTTGGCTTCCTTGTTATGCGCCCAGCCTCAAGGCCTGCCCTGCCGAGGGAGGAGAGACTTGGGCTTTGAGACTTGGTAAGACTTGAGTCAAAAGCACAGACACTGGAGTCAGGCCGTCCCTGCCTTTGGCTGGATTAGGTCATCACTCCACACCACATGTCTCACCCCCAAACCACAGTGAGAATGGTGCCCCCTCCTGGGCTTGGTTTGGGCTGGTTTTGTTTCTGTGTCAGTGTTGGGTGAAGTCAGGGGCTCTGTGTGCTAGGCAAACCTTCTACCACCGTGCCACAGCCCTCGCCTGTGTTATTTGAGGTAAGGTCATACTATAGCCCAAACTGCATTCGCTTGAGACCATGCTGCCTCCGTTTCCTGGATGCGGGATGAGCAGCCTGTGCCACCATGCCTGGCACCCAGATATTTTCAAAGAACCCATGTATGGTGTTTAGAGCCGTACATAAAAGGTAGTGTGCACTTGGATGAACGATGCCACTGAACTGGGTGGGCAGTGTCTGCAATCCCAGCAGTTGGGAAGGTGAGTTTGGAAGGATTTCTAGTTCAAGGCCAGCCTGGGCTACACAGTGAGCTACTGTATCAAACAAACAAAAACCTAATGATTTAGTACTTCACATGGATGATTTTGGTCTATAATGTCTGTGCATCATGTGCGTGCCGGTGCCTGGGGAGGTCAGGGAGGGTACCGGAGCCTCTGGAACTAGAGTCACAGATGTTTGTGAGCTCTTTTGCGTGTGTGCAGGGAACGGAGCAAGAGCAACAAGTCCTCCCTCTTAGCGGATGAGCCATTTCTGCAGCCCCATCCCTTGCTCCCTTCCCATGGTGTGTGTGTTGGGGGGGATCGGATGGACAGACACCCAGCCCCTGTTGATCTCAGTACCACCCCCCTGAGGTGTCTTCATACTGTCTCCTCCTGACCCAGATGCTGACCTGACGTTCGAGCAGACGGCCTGGGGGGACAGTGGGGTGTATTACTGCTCTGTGGTCTCAGCTCAGGATCTGGATGGTAACAACGAGGCCTACGCAGAGCTCATTGTCCTTGGTGAGTGGGGTTGGGTTCCCAGGGTCCTGGGGTGGGGGGAGTGGGAGCCGGTACTCCTTTTGTCCCCTCTTGTGTGTTCACCCTCTGTCATCCAGCTATCATGCTGGGCCCTGTCGCCTGCTTGCTACCACTCTGTGGCACTGCCAGTCACTTGAGATTCACTGTGCCTTGCACCCCGGACAGAACCCTTCCCTGTATGGCATTTCAAATCAGCCAGAGTCAGAGTGGAGAGAACTGAGGACTCTATTGGTCTCTGATTTTAAAGACACACACATGGAGGCAGAGGCAGGTGGTGTAAGGGTCCAAGAAATGCTGAAGAAGACCCCAAACTTGAATAATATGCAGAAACAAAGAGCATTTATTTTATAGAAATAACAAGCATGTGGGGTCAACCATTTGTACAAAATGACGATCCAGAGAGGAATACACAGGCACCACTAAAGTATAGCTAGCGGAATTCCATAGCTAGGGGAATAGTTAGGTCATCTTAAACATAATTGGTTTAAGCAGGCAGCAGTTATATTAGCACATCTCTGATAGGCTCAAGTTTTGGGTTTTTTATCTTTGGATAATATTTGGGGAAGTCTAGATATGTTTCAGTTGGATTACAGGGACTGTCCTATTTTGGTCACCGCCTTGATACTGTGGGGGCTGGCACAGGACTCGCCTCTGTTTGAGGCCAACCTGGTCTACAGAGCGAGTTTCATGGTAGACAGATCTACAAAACAGAGAGACCCTACCTAAAAAACAAACAAAAGTAGAAGGTGGACAGAGCTGATTTGCAGTGAGAACTTCCTTGACCGCAATGGGGTGGGGGGGTTGGTTTTGAGTCCCTTGTGACCTGGATGCACGCACCAGCGCTTAGAAGCGTAACCTTTCTGTTGCTCAAGGTTACTTAGAATTCCTGATAAAGCAAGTGTGTTACAGTGCAAGCTCTTACGTCGTCTCCGAGAGGACAACAGCAAGAAAAGTCCACAGGTGTTTGGATGAAAGGGTGTATTCTGAGAGGGAGGTGGCCCACGTTGGAATCTCTGCCCTTGGGAGGCTGAGTCAATACAATCAAGAGTTCTAGCCTAGTCTTAAGCCACATAGTTCCTTTCAGGACAACCTAGGCTATATTGAATTTCAGGGTAGTCTGAGCTACACGGTGAATCTCTAGCTAGCCTGAACTACATGAGGCCTGTTTAAAAAGGGAGTGGGGGCATTTTCTTTTTTTGTTGTTTTTGTTTTGTTTTCAAGATTTAGTTTGTATAGTGCTGTTTTGCCTACGTGTTATGACTGTGTGAGGGTACCCTATCCCTTGGAACTGGAGTTGCAGTTATGAGCTGCCACGTGGGTGCTGGGAATTGATCCCAGGTCCTCTGTATAACCGAAGTTGGACCTACATTCGGCCACATTCCCAGGACCATGGTGTACCATGAGTCCCTCGTCCAAATAAAATGTTTGTTTTCTGTTCTTTTGGGGGTGGTGCTGTGTGTGCTTCATGCGATGTGTGGAAATTTGAGTGTGTCTAAACAAGATGGACGGCAGGGGCCTGGGAGAGTGTCCCCAGGGTCTCCAGTCTGGCCAAGTGGTTTCCTTGCATGGGCCAATCAGAAGCCATCCCATAGTCTTACATGGCATTTGCTGGATGTGAGAGAAGCTTCGGTTGTGCATTGCCATCCTCATGGTGGGATCAGGTCCAGAGAGAGCTCGAGCCACAGGACAAAGGGCAAGTGATGGAATCCGCCCTCCCATGACCTAGGGACCTTTATTGGCATGTGCCATCAACAGGTCTTAGAGCTACTCGGGATCTCACAATGTTTGTGGTTTATATCTTATGTTAAAATTGAACTAGGAGCCGGGCGATGGTGGCGCACGCCTTTAATCCCAACACTCGGGAGGCAGAGGCAGGCGGATCTCTGTGAGTTCGAGGCCAGCCTGGTCTACAAGAGCTAGTTCCAGGACAGGAACCAAAAGCTACGGAGAAACCCTGTCTCGAAAAATCAAAAAAAAAAAAAAATTGAACTAGGAACGTTGTTTGAAACAGGTGATGTGGCCCAAATTGAAGTGGCAATCCTCCCGTATCTCTTCCCTTGAGTACTTAGATTATATATAGCATGTGCCACACAACTGGTGGAAACCGGCAAGTTTTTAAAATCCCAAGGTAACTCGGCGTTGGACACTAGCCACCAAGGTGATGGTGGTGTCAGGGAGCCTGTGGAAATCCTGTTGTGCCCCAGGAGAGGGGAGTACACTTAGTGTCATGAGACCAAGTTCTGGCCTCCTGGCCCACACCTTGTTTTGGGTTTTTAACTCGTTTGTTTGTTGTGCGTCAGGATCTCCTGTAACCTTCAGTTCATCAGGTAGCTAAGGCTGCTTTAAACTCCTGTTTCTCCTGCCTCGACCAAGTGGGTGTGCCCTGGAGGGAGGTGTGTTGATATGGAACCACAGTCTCCTGCATGTGTGTGTGCACGCGCGTGTGTATGCACTCTCCTGTGTGTATGTGGGGCACAGGGCCTCATGGAACCTGGGTCTTGAAGTGTAGGACCAGATATGATTTTAACGTGCCTTCATGGCTCCTTACTACACTGGGAAAAACTACTGTGGCCCGAGTGTAGCTGGGTGGTAAAGCACGTGCTTCATATTCATGAGGCCCTGGGCTCAACCCCCAGCACTTCAAAAATATACTAATTGTATTTCACAATTATGTTGCTGTACAGATAATTTATTATGATGGACTTGGTATCATTTTATCTTCATATTTTATATTCAAATTTTAACTTTGACATAATCTTTATTTATTCTTTGATATTTCATACAAATATATAATGTTTTGGTTATATGCATGCATGTGCCCCACACCCCACTTTCAATTTGCCCTAGATACCCCCAACCCGCTCCCCTCCCAAATTCACCTGTTTTTCAAAACTAACCTGAGTCTTGTTATTAGTAACTATACGCTCATGGGTGTGTGAGCAAACCCGCTCTGTAGCCACATCCCCAAAGAAAAGTGACTGACTTCCCCAGCAGCTATAAGTTGGCCAAAAGTTCCTCATTTTGAGCCCTGAGTGGTGGCTCCTGCCTGTGATCCTGGAACCAAGGAGGCGGAGGCAGCAAGCTTGCTTCAAGTTCAAGACAACCTGAGCCACCATGTGAGACCTTGTTTCAAACCAAACAATAGACAATATCTTGGTGGCCTCTAGAGTATACCTACCGTGCCTGACAGGACTTATATACATGGGAGATGGGGATGCCAGGTTGAGGTCAAACCCTTCGGATGGGGCCCTTGTGGCAGGGTGGAAGGCGTGCAAATACCTCCGGTCAGGACTGTCCTAGGTGACCATTGTCTCTGTCTCTGCTCCAGGCATGTTTTCCACTGTTGAAGCTGGCCCTTCTAAGGGTGTTGGCTTGGGCTGGCCATGGCCAACATAATCTTGTTTCTCTTTTGTCCCTTCAGGCAGGACCTCAGAGGTCCCTGAGCTCCTACCTGGTTTTCGGGCGGGGCCCTTGGAAGGTATGGGGTGGAACCCCTGTTAGATTGCTTCTGTTTCTAGTACTTTCCCTCCCCCTAATCTCTTCTCACTGTGGACTTCCACTAAACCCGTCTAGTGGCCTGGCTGTGGGCTCGGGGTGGCCTGGGCTGATTGATCAGGTTCCGGGGTGCAGGCAAGGGACTCGAGTGACTGGTACCTGCTGTATTCTTCTGGGGTTCAGGTATTGGCTGTGGCTCTTTCCCTTCCTGAAGGCTACTTTTTGTTTGTGTTGCTCCAGCCAGGCTCCCTCTTGCTTCCTGCTTTGGCTGTCTGAACTCAGGATAAGGTCTCCCATGTGGTGACTTAACCTGACTGCAGTGGGGTTTGTGTCCCTTTGTCGCTATGCCCTAGTCTTGGGCACAGAGAACCAAGCGGTAGTTGCAGGTTCTCTGAGGAGCTTTGCAACTAGTCCCTTGTCCCAGAGTTGGCTCCACACCACCACCCTGTGGAGCCTGGGTGCCCTGCCCATCCCTGTCCATCTTTATCATTACTCAGGCCTCCCAGCTCAGGGCCTGTTCTTTCTCTGCAGATTGGCTCTTCGTGGTCGTGGTCTGCCTGGCGAGCCTCCTCCTCTTCCTCCTCCTGGGCATCTGCTGGTGCCAGTGCTGTCCCCACACCTGCTGCTGCTATGTCAGATGTCCCTGCTGCCCAGACAAGTGTTGCTGCCCGGAGGCCCGTAAGTGCCCCTCACCCACTCTACTGGGCACATCGGCCTGCCTGCCCGCTCTGCAGACTGAGGCAATGTGCGGAGCAGGCCGCGCAGACCAGTTACTTACTCTCCGCTATCAGTCACTAACTCCGCTTTCCATTTCCTTTATTTTGAGGCTTCTCTTACGGTGTTAGGGATTGAAGCAAGGGCCCTGCGCATGCTAGGCAAACGCTGCCTCTGAACGACAGCCCTAACTCTTGAGGTTGTTTTCTTTTGAGAGGGTAATTTATTGCTGTGGCTCAAAAACAAGATCACCAAAAGTAATAATGTCCAACATTACGAGATATTATTCACAGGAAAGTAAAGACCCCTTTAAAACAAAATCCAGGTGGGTTTGACAGTTTTCCTAGGCAGTCCCAGCACTGTGGAAAGAGAAGGTAGAGACAAGAAAAGCTGAAGTTCCAGGCTAGCCTGGGCTACACAGAGCCGTCTCAACATAGAAAATAAAAACCTCAAGGTAAGAAACCAAGCAGGGTTTGTAGGGCACAAAATTTCAGCTAACTTTAAGCAGCACACAGCACTCAAACTGCCCTCACATGGAGATTCTATATTGAGACATAGCCCTCACATCCAGGCGAGCACCTGTGGAGGGCTGGGGAAATGGGACCAGAAATGAAGGAAGCACCTACCTAAAGCAGAGGGAAAGAGGAGACAAAGGGGACAAAGCTGCTGGCCCTTTAGTCTTCCCTGGGAGGCTGTTCTGTTCAGATAGGTCTGCCCCTTGGTGTTTAACCCAAAGAAAAGAACAGGCCAGAGGGGGCTTTGTGGCCAGCTCGGTGCCTGACGGGCTGAGGCAACTTGGGGCAGAGCTGGGCCCAGCAGGAGTTTGGGGGGTTTTCACGTTGTGTGGGCCCCATGAAAAGCCCCAAAACTTCCTCAATTACTCAGACTGACCGGCTTTAAAACTCTGTAGCCCACCAGGTGGTGGTGGTGGTGCACGCCTTTAATCCCAGCACTCAGGAAGCAGAAGCAGGTGGATCTCTGTGAGTTCAAGGTCAGCCTGGTCAACAAAGCAAATTCCAGGACAGCCAGGACTATTTAACAGAGAAACCCTGTCTTAAAAATCTGAAAAACAAGAACAAAAAACTTTATAACCCTGTAAGACTGGAGAGATTAATCCAGTATGGTAGCCTTTAATTAATAATTAATTAATTAATCCAGTACACCTTTAATTCCAGCATTCAGGAGGCAGAGGCAGGTGGATCTCTATGAGCTTGAGGCCAGCCTGGTCTATGTCAGGCAGCTCATACTCCAGCTTCAGAGTATCTTATTCCTCTGGTCCCATGGGCACCTACACTCAAATGCACATACCCATCCCCAACACACATACATACCAATGACAAATAACAGAAGTAACTCTTTAAAACAAACCAGAAATAACAAGGACCCAGGGCTGGTGAGAAGGCTCCGCTAGTAAAGGGGACGCACTTGGTGGAAGGAGAGAACAGATTTCTGCAAGTTGTCCTCTGACTTCCACAGACTGCCGTGGTGCACACACAATAGACATAAATGATATTGATAATAAACAGACAAAAAACCCTCTGATAGGCCTTGAACATGTTGTGACCCTCCTGCCTCAGCCTCCTAGGTAGCTGGTATTATAGTACTATCCCAGAAAGCCAAGATGGACCCAGTGAGTTGAGTTAGGAATTGCCACCAGGACCTCCTCTAGGGTTTACCTAGGATTTACCGGAATGAGCTGCAGGGATAGGAGTGGGTGTGGCCAGCAATTGGAAACCCTGGAGGTACTTACTACTCCAGGGTGTGGGCCAGGTAAACTTCCAAGGCTCCTGTGTGCTTGCCTGACTCCACAGCTTTTTCACAGTATGGCCTAGGTGCCTCAGTTTATGGAGACACTAGTGGTCCCAGAAGGTGGGGGTGGGATGGGGGGAACCTTTAAAGGGGGTGACTTTGCCTACTATGGCCTTTAAGAGCAAGGCTGTCATTCTTATCCAGGTCTGTCTTGACTACAGAATGAGTCTAAGATCTTCCTGGGTCATTTATGAAGCCTCATCTCAAGACAATAAAGGAGGGGGCGGGTATTGGGAACGTGTCTCAGTGGTGAAGCCGCTACCTAGGAAGTCTAAAGTTCTGGGATCATTACAGAACACAGACACAAGATCACCCTGGAGTTTCACATGAAATTGGGGGCCTGATCTACCAGTGTGCACCCCTATTCCCAGAATTCCGTGTGAAGTCAGATAGGAAGTGGGGACTTGGTGAAGGCTGTGTCCCCTAACCTACAGTATTGCAGGAATGGGATGGAGGGCAAACTTAGGTTCCCCCAGAATCCCATTCCAACATGAGACAGCACAGTCCCCAATCACCTTTCTCGTGCCAATTTGCCCTCCAGTTTATGCTGCCGGCAAAGCAGCCACCTCAGGTGTCCCCAGCATCTATGCCCCCAGCATCTACACCCACCTCTCTCCTGCCAAGACCCCGCCACCGCCGCCTGCCATGATTCCCATGGGCCCTACCTACGGCAGGTACCCTGGAGACTTTGACAGAAATAGCTCAGGTAAGACCTGGGGGAGGCTAAATGGGGTGGGGTAAGGCTAGAAGGGAGCGTGAACGATTGGGAGCACCCTGCTTTGCTCCAAAGAGTAACCACTGACAACCTATCTCTACTAGTCGGTGGCCACAGCTCCCAGGTACCTCTGATGCGTGATGTGGATGGCAGTGTATCCTCAGGTAAGAGCCTGTTTTGAGGTGAATGTGGCTGGAGAGTTGATCCACATGCACCCCCCCCCCCAAAAAAAAATACAATCACCTTGTTCCTTTCCACAGAAGTACGAAGTGGCTACAGGATACAGGCTAGTCAGCAGGACGACTCCATGAGGGTCCTGTACTATATGGAGAAGGAACTAGCCAACTTTGACCCTTCCCGGCCTGGCCTTCCCAATGGCCGAGTGGAACGGGGTGAGCTGCAGACCTGAGTCTAGGGGAGGATGCATGCTTGATAACAATCTTGCATGCACTCCTTGCCTGCTGTGTTCCCGGGGGAGGGTGTGCGCCTATGGGTGACAAGGTTGGACTTAACCTTAGTCCCACTGACATCTCCCCTCTCTACAGCCATGAGTGAAGTCACTTCCCTCCATGAAGATGACTGGAGATCTCGGCCTTCCAGGGGTCCCGCTCTTACCCCAATCCGGGATGAGGAGTGGAGTCACCACTCGCCTCGAAGTCCCAGGATGTGGGAGCAGGAACCCCTTCAGGAACAGCCAAGGGGTGGTTGGGGATCCGGGCGGCCTCGGGCCCGCTCTGTAGATGCTCTGGATGACGTCAACAGGCCCGGCTCCACTGAATCAGGAAGGTCTTCTCCCCCAAGTAGTGGGAGGAGAGGACGGGCCTATGCACCTCCCAGAAGTCGCAGCCGGGATGATCTCTATGACCCCAACGATGCTCGGGACTTGCCACATTCCCGAGATCCCCACTATAATGACGACCTCAGGTCTAGGGACCGGCGTGCGGACCCCAGATCTCATCAGAGATCCCGGGATCCTCGGGATGCTGGTTCCAGGTCCCGGGACCCTCAATATGATGGACGACTCTTAGAAGAGGCCTTAAAGAAAAAGGGGTCTGGAGAGAGAAGGAGACTTTACAGGGAGGAAGACGAGGAGGAAGAGGAGGGCCGCTACCCCCCAGCGCCTCCACCTTACTCAGAGACTGACTCGCAGGCCTCACGGGAGCGGAGGATGAAAAAGGTTAGCTAGGTCCCTCTGACTTCACAACCCCCCCCCCCCCCCCCCCGCTCCTCTAGCCCATCCAGTTCACATTCTTTTTTCTTTTTGCAGAATTTGGCCCTGAGTCGGGAAAGTTTAGTCGTCTGATTCCACGTTTTGTATGTAGCTTTTATACATTTTTTTAAAACTGGAGTACTGATGAAACTCTTTACCAAGCCTAATAAAGTACTTAATCACAAGTTCTGAGCGTCTATTTTGCTGCGCGACATGGGGGGGAGGGGGGGGGGAGGTAGACCAGCGCAGGAACGACCAGACAGGCCTTCTGCCTTCTCCTTGGCCTGCCGCCTGGAGTACGTGCCCCATGCCGCCTCCACCCTGCCCCGCCCCAGCGTGCGCATGCGCCCCACAACCGGGAGCGCGCACGCGCGCTCCCCCCACCCCCATCTGGGCTACCCCCACGACCTACTTTACAGTCTTGAAACCCTGTGACCCCGGCGATGTGAGCCCCGCGTCCGTGTAGCCGGGCATTCTAGCCCGGCCCGCGTTCCAGCCCGCGGTGGTCCCTGTAGAGTTCCCGGGCCTAAGCGCGTGCGCGCCCGGCCGCCACCAAGAGACAGACAGCGCGCGCGTTCCCCGGGGCCTCCCCTCCCCCTCCCCCTGCGCGCGCGCCCGCCCGACCCGGGATCGCGCCGTCGCCACCACCGCGCGCGCGCAGCTCCAGTAAAGGAGGAAAAAAAAAGGAAAAAAGAGAAAAGGGGGGGGGGGTAGATAGAAAGCGGCGGCGGCTGCAGCCACGATTCGCCGCCGGACCGGGCCAAGCCGGGCGGCGAGCTAGCGAGCCGGTGATCCAGGGAACAGGGCGGTCGCCATCCAGGCTGGGCCGTGTTTAAAAAAAAAAAAAAAGCTCAAGTCGCGGCGGCGGCGGCGAGCGCTCAGGGAAGCAGGCCCCAGGCCGCGTGCGGCGGACCGACCGACCGACGGGCGGGAGGGTGGGGGGCAGCTGAGCTGCGGCCCGGAGCCTCAGGCCGCCCGGAGCCGGCGGCAGCGGGCGGAGGCGGCAGGAGGAGGCGGCGGCTGCAGGAGCGGCGGCGGCGGCGGCATCTCCTCCTCACATGACCCCACTGTTTGTCCCCGTGATCAGCGCGAGCGGCTCCCGTGTCTCCTCCGTCCCCTCCTGCCGCGCGGCGTGAGCGCCGGGCTCGGGCCCCCCCGGCCGCCCGCCCCCTCCCCTCCCTCCCCTCCCCTCCCCCCCCCCGCCCCCCCCATGGACATGCTGGACCCGGGTCTGGATCCTGCTTCCTCGGCCACCGCTGCTGCCGCCGCCAGGTAAGCGCGCCGGCGGCTCGCGCCCCTCCGCGCGCCCTGGGCCCCGGCCCCTCAGCCCCGCGCGCGGGGACCGCCATGATCCCGAGCGGCCTCCGGGCCCGGCTCAAAATGGAGGCCGCGGGGAGGGGACCCGGGCGGGGGCTCGGCAACACTGTTGACCCTGGCGGGGCCCGGGCCTGGAGGGGCGACCGGCGGGCCGCTGCGACCCGGCCGGGCTGCGGGCCTCACTGACCCCGGGCCCTGCCCCTCGTGTGCCCCCGCAGCCACGACAAGGGACCCGAGGCCGAGGAGGGCGTCGAGCTGCAGGAAGGTGAGTGCTTGCGGGGCCACGGGGGCTGCGGCCCGCGCCGGGGTTGCAGGCCGGGGACGCCGGGGGACCCCCCGCGCGCCCCGCTGAACGTGCCCCCTGCCCTGCTGCCCCCACAGGCGGGGACGGCCCGGGGGCTGAGGAGCAGACGGCGGTGGCCATCGCCAGCGTCCAGCAGGCGGCGTTCGGCGACCACAATATCCAGTACCAGTTCCGCACAGAGAATAATGGAGGCCAGGTGAGGCGGCCACGGCCCGGGAGCCCCGAGGGCCAGCGCCGGGGCGAACCGAGGGAGGGTGGACGCGTGCGGCGGGCCAGGGAGAGGCTCCGACCTGGCCCCTGCCGGGGCCCTAGCGTCGGTCTCGTCGCTCTGCCGCCCCCTGCAGGTGACATACCGCGTAGTCCAGGTGACTGACGGTCAGCTGGACGGCCAGGGCGACGCGGCCGGCGCCGTCAGCGTCGTGTCCACAGCTGCCTTCGCGGGGGGGCAACAGGCTGTGACCCAGGTGGGTGTGGACGGGGCAGCCCAGCGCCCCGGCCCGGCCGCTGCTTCTGTACCCCCAGGTCCCGCGGCACCCTTCCCGCTGGTAGGTGGCCCGCAGTTGCTGGGGAGGGGCTGGGGAGGGGGAAGCCCCAGGGGATCGGGTGTGTGTGACACACACACACACACACACACACGTTCTCCAGGCCGTCGAGCCGTATAAGGCTGATGTCTTGCACAGACATTGGACAGGACTCTTGAATTTTATTTTTCTCTATAAGACAGGGGAAAACTTAGAAAAAAAAAATGAAGTAGAGTAGCTGAGCTAGTGACAGTTGAGTCCCGTCAGAAATGAGATACTGGACAGGATGGTAACCACAGCGGGCTTCCCCCTCGCCTCACAGCTTAGTAAATAAACACCGACCCCAGCAACAAAGATGGGGAAACCCTGGCTAAGGATGGCCTATGTCCTCGTCCCTAGGCTGTAATTCAAAATCCATTCAGCAATGGTGGCAGCCCAGCCGCAGAAGCAGTCAGCGGGGAGGCACGGTTTGCATATTTCCCAGCATCCAGTGTGGGAGATACCACCGCTGTGTCTGTACAGACCACAGACCAGAGCCTACAGGCCGGAGGTAAGGGGAGGAACGGTAGAGCTAGGGAAGTCACTTAAGCAGTTCCGCCTTGACCTCTCACTGATGCTCGCTGCACATTTCCTGCAGGCCAGTTCTATGTCATGATGACACCCCAGGATGTGCTTCAGACAGGAACACAGAGGACAATTGCACCCCGGACACACCCCTATTCTCCGTATGTGCCGTAGTCCCATTGTCGGGGGGCCAAGGAAAGGGAGGGTGTTTTTGGCCTAAGAGCTGGGTCTGTCAGTACAGAGCAGGAATGGGGTATGGGTTTTGTTAGCTTTTGCTTTTGAAATATCCATTTAAAAAAAAAAATGTGGACTGGAGAGGTGACTGAGTAGTGGAGCGCTCACGTTTTGCAAGCCCTGGGCTCTACCCCAGTACCATGAAAACAAAGGTGTTTGCAAGTCTGATAGCTTGGTAAATACTTGAAGAGACTGGGTATCTGCCATTTCCCCTTCTATTCTAGAAAAATTGATGGAACCAGAACTCCTCGAGATGAGAGAAGAAGAGCTCAGCACAACGAAGGTAAGGATGGTGGTGTGGTCCTTGGCCAGCTCCTGGGCTCCAAAGTGCTCTGAGCCCATCGTCTGGCATGCCCAGATGCCAGAGAGGTGTATGCTGAGTGCGTGGGTAAGGGCTGGTGGGTGAAGGAGCAGTAAGCTGTTAGGAAAGATAGAGGACACGAATTGGGTTTGGCCAGATGTTTTCTCAAGCCCAGCCTGTGATCTTGATTTGTTCTATTGGCCAGCCTCTTAAAATGGCTGACCTCACATCCACATGTGGCTTTTACCCTTCGCATTCCTTTGCCTTCCACCTGTGTGAAAGGAAGTTGCTCCTCTGAGCCAGCTGAAGCCAGAGCCTCCCACTCTTCCGGGGAAGCTACGCAGTTCACCCTGAGGTCTTGTGTCTGTTAGTGCTGTTCCTTGGTCTCCCAGCCTTGATTGGTCACCATTGTAAAGCATGTAACAGGCCCTCAAGGCAAGGCAGTTCTGACACCCAACTCCATCACTCAACAAATGTTTACTGACCCTGGATCCCAGTCAGGGCAGCAGCACAGGCCCTGTGCCAAGACCTCAGCCTGTCCTAGAGGTTTCAGTCAGAATTGCTAACGAAGGACAATTTATGGCTGAGAGATTACCGAGGCACAGAAGGGAGGTTGCCCCAGGAAGATTTTTCTGGGAACTTAGCAAGTAGAGGGAAACACGGGAGAAGGAAAGTCAAGATGTTTCAGTGATGCTGTTTGCTTGTCACTGAGCTTCTGTGTGGTTCCTTTGAGACTGAACCAGGATGGAGGCCTCAGACCCTGAGATTCTGGGGTGTTTTGATATAAATAGGGGTATAGGTTACTGCTGTTCTAAGCGGCTGGCAAGCTTTTGGCCAAGCGTTCACCCCATCTAGACCTCAAGTGCAGTGGAACAGCAGAGACAAGGTCTGGGCTCTCAGCATCGCTGGGAGGAGACGAGGTACAGTTACCATTGCCCTCAACGTGCCTGAGCACTGGAAAGAGATCACTGAATGGGTGCAGCAGAGGACTTCAGAGTCCTCACAGAGGAATGCCCAGGCCCCTCAGCTATAGACACTAAGTTTGAGGAAGAGCAGATGGGGAAGGGAAAGAGGAAGGTCTTAGGGCTGGGAAAGGACCTGCCAGGCTGGCTCACACTGGGTCTCTAGCTCTTCTCAGAGCAGTTGTCCTGACCCTGTGGGTATAGTCTGGTGATGGGGACACCAGTGTGGGGTCTGTGTGTGGAAGCAGGATGATAAGGTGATGGGAAACTAGAGACTAAGAAGTCACATGTTAAGAGATGACTTCTGGGAAGGGGGAGGCCTGGTCTGAGGTCTGGCTGGTCTGGCTGTGGAGAATGGGCATAAGGAGAAGACTCTGGAGCAGCTTGGTTGACGCTTAATGCCCTAATGCCAGGTCAGGTGGCTTTGAAAGGAAAGGGTGAACTGGGGCTTGCAGTCGGTTTGGAAGTGAGGCAGGGGCATTTGAGGGTCCTCCGGTGCTTTACTCAGGCAGTTGCAGCCCATCTATCCAACTCAGGCTGGGGTTTCAACCTTGGCACCTGTGTTGTCCTGTAAAATGACTAAGACCCTTGGTGATCCTAAAACCCCCACCCCTAACTGCAGCCTCCCACTAAGCAGGGCAGCCACACGCCCTCCAGTTCATTCTGCCTTACCCTGGATTCATCCAGCTTGGAGCCTTTGTTTTTTCATCCTCCAGAAAGCAGTTTTCATAACCTCTCCACCCCCACCTTCCAGCTACAACCAGCCCTCTGGCTTCTAACCTGTAGAAGGTTTGAACCACCATCTGCCTGTCCTCCTTGTGGCTTGGCAGTCTGGCCTACCGGACTGGCTTCACTGAAGGTCACCTGTGACGACCTCATTGCCAAATCTACTGGCTTCCTTTTCTGTCTGAGCTCCAAGCATCTGCCCCTGCCTGTTAACCCCAGGTCTACCCCCACTGCTTTTGGGACTGTCTCTTCTTTT